TGAATATTTTACATAAAACACAAACAAAACAATTTTAAGTTATCTTTATTGAACTGTTATCCATCATAACTATTATTATACCAGTTTGCTACATTATCTGGCTATCGATACAGTATATTAACCATTATGCTCAACCCCTCGGAATAGCGATTGGCACAGCTTGAACTTGGTTGTTCGTTATCTGGTTATTGATTCTTTGACTTCCTCTCAGTTACAACTTTTTATCATTGGTTGGTCATATCTAAGAGAGACTATTGTAGTATTTATGGTTGTTTCTTACATAAATATGTTATTGTTAGAGATACAGTTAAATTATATTTAGGTCTTATTTTTAAATTTTTGTTAATTATGTATTATTTATGTTTTAAAATGCATAATTTAAAGGTTTAAACATTTTAAAAATAAGCATCGTACTTTGCGTCAGTTCTCAAAGCTTAAAGTGTTATGCGGTGCACAAAAATTTTGTGAAGGTGTTGTGCATCTCTGTCAGTGACACTGTAATATGCCATGAGGTCACAATTAGCTTGTATCGAGATAATAATAAATGGTAAAGGACAAGAAAGGAAAATAAAACAATAACAATTAACTTTATGTTAAAAAGGAAAAGTCTTGTAATTATTAATTGAACAAAAAAATGTTCAAAGATATTCTACAAAAAATTAATGAGTATTTATTTTTTCTGTTTCCTAATTTTAAATATTTCATTGCCTTGTACATTGATGATAATAGCTAGTTAGTAATATGGTAGAGAAAATGAAAAAATAAAATATAAACATTTACCTTAAAAACTTTTGACATTCATGTAGGAGGTTCTAGAGATTATGCAAATGAAATATGAATACTAAAAGATGAAATGTATTGCTATGCATAAAATGAAAATCACCTTGCACTTGATTTATTAAGAGTTTGGGTGCAAGTAAGTACAATAGATAAATAAATTTTTTTTAGTAAAAACACTTAATTGTACACAATGATGAATATAATGAATGGAAAGCTCAGAATGTTCCCCTAGTGGCTTTCTCAGCCTCTTTGAAACTTGTTCTTTTTTTGGTAGATTCTAAGTGGTAAGGTAAGTTGTTAGTGAGCTGAAAAGTTCATATTTTTTAGAACCCAAATACAGCTTAGTTACTAAGCTTGATAAATGATAGTGAAATACTTTGGTATTGATAGAGTAATTTATGATTTTTAGTTATTTCAAAATGATTATATTGCTACGACAGCAGAAGTCATGTGATGCTGGTGACACGTCATGAGATTCTAGAAGGATCATGAAAGTTCGAGCATTTGCTAGACGCCCTCTATTTTAGTATATAAGACCGGCAAATAAGGGCAGATAGGAAGATATAGAGACAGATAATTGAGTCAAGTCGTAAGTAAAGTATGTGAATCGTTGTGAATTATAGTGTGTGTTTAAGTTAAAGTGACTGTGGAAATTAAGTGTATTGCAAAGTTGTATTGAGAAAGAATAAACTAGTTTTATTTAAGAAAGGACTTGTATTGCTGAAGTTCTTCGGAAAAAAAATATTTACGGGAAATTAACAAACGACCAGAGACATAATATATAAAACCTGAAAGAAAATGTTTGTTTCACATTACTAAATTAATAACGCTTAGCAACCTTTGGCAAGCAGCAAATGAGTACAAAGTTTGTAAGTAGAAGAGATAATTGTTTGCTGTACTTCTGTATTTACTGTTCTATGTTTTAAGAAAAATAAGTTTAAGAACTTGTTTGTAAATAGTAGTAATGTATATACATATATAATATGTTATAACTGAAATGTGACTGTATTTTACAAAATACTGGTCCACTAGATCACAGCCAAGACAGGTCACTTTGTAAAGGCCAATTTTATATTCTTGGATATAGTGGCGTAAGTGCACGTACACTGCGTAATTACAACTTTTGTATTGTTAGTCAGGCACAGCTGAAAGCTCAATATAATAATATATATATGTATATTTATAATGCATAGTGTTACGAGATTTAAGCAATTTAGACTAAACGTTTGTGTTTTCATGTTTTAATTTGTAGTCATTCTAGAACAAGAAAAGCATAATTTATATATAATTTCGTAATGTTTTATGGTCACGCAAAAATGCCAAACCTTGCAAGTAGGGTCATATGCCTTATCAAGATCAAAGAAGATAGAAACAAGATAATCTCTCTTAAGGAATGATTCTGTGATCAAGGTTTTGAGACAAATCAGGTGGTCCTCAGCGGAGCTTTGTCAGTGAAAACCACATTGAGTGGCTGAGAGGACGTTGTTCGACTCAATCAAACAAGATAAATATTAACCATCGTCTTCAAAACCTCACAGAGATAGTTGTCAAAGAAGGAATGTTGGGATCCTTTCCAGGCTTCGAAAAAGGGAGAACAATAGCTTTACACCATGCATCTGGAAAATATTCTTCTGTCAAATCTGGTTTAAAACAACCAGAAGAAGAGCAAGAGACGCAGGATAGAGACAGTGCAGCATCTCATAGCGAACATCATCAGGTCCAACTGATGTACTGCTAGACCAATGAAGAGCAACTTTAAGTTTGATTAATGTAAATGGGCAGTTATAATCCTAGGGACGATCTGCTCTAAAGGAAAGTAGCAATTTCTCAGCCCATGACTGGATGCTCAAGAAGGCAAAGGAAGAAACAGAAGTGCTGGAAAGGTATGAATCCCTGAGAGCATCAGCAATACATTGTGAGGAATTCAGTGTAGTATGGGAAGTAACTGCAATGGGTATTTCTCCAATATCCTTTGATTTCAGGAGGAGTTCACTATGGTCGGTATCGGTACTGTTTGTACTCAGCATCAAGTACAGTTATTGGGTCATCACTACTGGCTGTACTGGTATTGGTTTATAGCACATCATATCTTGAGAATAATATCTGTTATCGCATGTACCATCTTCGGAGTTTTGACCGAACGCCACCGCCAGTATTTCAGCTTCACTTTTCACAGATTTATAAATGTTTGATGTGGTAGTTTTGAGTTCATACTTCAGTTGATAAGCAAATCTTACCAAGAAAATTGGTAATAGCATGAAATACAGAAAACCAATGACTCCCATACTTTGGAAGAGAACGTGAATGTGCCTACGTGACTGGTTGCATGTTAGGTAGGTGCATGTGTGATTAACCCTTAGCATGCAGGCAGGTCAAACTGCATGTCATGACATTTTAGTGAGTTACATTCAAAATTTAATTAAACTACTTAATTATCATGGTATACGAGCAAACTTGACCTCAAACCACAGATAATACATCAAATTTGAAAATTATGTATGACCCTTAAGTTCTTAATTGTATAAGAAAATAGTTAAAAACGACCTTAGCTTTCCCTAGTGTGAGAATTTGGATATTTGTCCTTGAGCAGTCTCCTGTTTTGGATTTTCTTGTCCAACCCCCCTGGAAAACTATGAAATGTAACATCAGACATTCTCTAATTTCGTCATTGATATCCTGATGCTATATTTTTATGTTCTTCAATCTAGTGGGCCTAAAGAACGATCAATAAAAATCAAATGCCTGCCTCTGACACGCTCTAATTTACAGTTTGTTCATAGATTTTTTGAGGACGAATCCCATTAAATTAATAACCAATAGAAAGCCTAGATTTCAACTGATTCATTGCCATGTTGTCATACCACATGGGCTTACATATATTTGGCAATTTGGTTTGATGTGAAAAAAAAAAATTCCCACAAGAACACACTGGGAAGAATAGTTGAATTTCGACGTTCTCAAGTCTTATGATTAAAGAATCTTGAGTACTGGTACTATCAGTACTATTGCAAACCCTTGTTATAGATGTTTCCATCAAAATGTCTTTAGAATGTAACTTCTTGACAGACTTTGGAGAGCCAGCAAAACCCTATAATCCATTTTGGATTAAAAAGGGAGACATTTTGCCCTAAAGGTTTATCAGACATAGAATGCAGAATGAAAAAACTTTCTAACTGACCAGTGTTTGTTTTCTTCCTGATTCTTCATGTTCAGAGAATGTACTGCTGTCATTTATTACTACAGATGTAATTATCCTGAACACTACCAGTCTATAGAATCTATGACTTGAATAATCCCACGTCTTCCAATCAGTAATCAAACAGCTTCTAACCATGGGAATGATATCTAAGCTATATAGTTTAAATATTTCTATAACATATATACAGAACTTCTAAACAGGAACTATAAAATATTGGTGTTAATTAAACATGGAATATTACCAACAGTGTGTTTTCAAGCTGTTCTGATAAATCTAGAAAGTTGTTTTAAAGTGTTAAACTTAGTTTTATATTTAATATTTTTATATTGATATTTGTATTGACTATATTAGAACATTAACACATATTTAGATGTTCTTGAAATAAAGTATTGTATTATATATTTATTATTAAATAATTTGTGACATCATTTATATCTATTTTAGATTTAAAGACCAGTGTGAACATCTGTTGTGGAAGTCAATTTCCTGGTTATGTTATAAAACAAGAAGATCATTTTATAGAAGATGTAAAATCCCTAAACAACAATATTAGTGGAGAAACAAGATTAAGTGAAAATAACCTAAAACCATTTAATATACATCAGAGTAATGATACACTATCCAATTGTGGAAAAACATTAGGTAACCTAAATCAACAAAAGAGGATACACTCTGGAGAGAAACCATATCACTGTACTTTTTGTGGAAAACAGTTTGGAACAAATGGTAATTTAAAAATACATCAAATAATACATACTGGGGAGAAACCTTACAGTTGTGGAGTTTGTGGAAAACACTTTGGAACAAATGGTAATTTAAAAACACATCAAAGAATACACACTGGTGAGAAGCCTTATAGTTGTGTAGTGTGTGCTAAACAATTTATGTCAAGCTATAACTTAAAAACACATCAAAATATTCATATTGAGGAGAAACCTTACAGTTGTACAGTGTGTGGAAAACACTTTGGAACAAATGGTGACTTAAAAAAACATCAAAGAACACACACCGGGGAAAGACCTTATAGTTGTGTAGTGTGTGCTAAACAATTTATGTCAAGCTATAACTTAAAGACACATCAAAGAATACACACTGGTGAGAAACCTTACAGTTGTGCAGATTGTGGAAAACACTTTGGAACAAACAGTGAATTGAAAAAACATCAAAGAATACACACTGGGGAGAAACCTTATAGTTGTAAAGTTTGTGGAAAACAATTTGGAACAAACAATGAATTAAAAAAACATCAAAGAATACATACTGGTGAGAAACCTTACAGTTGTACAGTTTGTGGAAAACAGTTTGGAACAAACAATGAATTAAAAAGACATCAAAGAATACACACTGGTGAGAAACCTTATGGTTGTGCAGTGTGTGAAAAACAGTTTGGAACAAAAGGTGCATTAAAAATACATCAAAGAATACACACTGGGGAAAAACCTTACAAGTGTGTAGTGTGTGCTAAACAATTTATATCAAGCTGTAACTTAAAAACACATCAAAGAATACACACTGGTGAGAAACCTTATAGTTGTACAGTTTGTGGAAAACAGTTTATAACGAATGGTAACTTAAAAACACATCAAAGAATACACATTGGGTAAAAACCTTACAGTTGTACAGTGAGTTGACAAAACTTTCTTACAAATAGTACATTAAAACAAATAAAAGGAACATTGGGGAGAAATCTTACAGTTGTGGAGTTTGTGGAAAAGAATTTGGAACAAACAGTAACTTAAAAATAAATCAATAACACATACTAGTGAGAAACCTTACAGTTGTGTAGTTTGTGGAAAACAGTTTGTATTAACCTGTAACTTATAAAAACATAATAGCACACACTGAGAAAACCTTACAGTAATTGAGTTAGTGAAAAACAATTTGTTAAAAGCAGGTACTTAAAAATATATAAAAGGTTATGCATCACGTAAAAACCTTACAGCTGAAGAATACAACTTGTAAGTAACTATAGCATAAAAATACCTCGGAGAATACACAGTTGGGAAAAACCAGGTTTTGATACAAGTGTTTAGCACAGAAGGTAGTTTTGTAAAGTACCATATAACATTAAAGGCTCTGAAAGAAAAAGAAATTGAAGCCAATCTTTATGATTAAAATATTTATCAACCTTTCACTTAAACTTCTTTAAACTAACAGCCTCACTGAAGGCAACCTTTATTAAACTAACAGCATCACTGAAGGCAACCTTTATTAAACTAACAGCATCTGAAGGCAACCTTTATTAAACTAACAGCTTCACTGAAGGCAACCTTTATTAAACTAACAGCTTCACTGAAGGCAACCTTTATTAAACTAACAGCTTCACTGAAGGCAACCTTTATTAAACTAACAGCTTCACTGAAGGCAACCTTTATTAAACTAACAGCTTCACTGAAGGCAACCTTTATTAAACTAACAGCATCACTGAAGGCAACCTTTATTAAACTAACAGCATTGCACTGAAGGCAACCTTTATTAAACTAACAGCTTCACTGAAGGCAACCTTTATTAAACTAACAGCTTCACTGAAGGCAACCTTTATTAAACTAACAGCTTCACTGAAGGCAACCTTTATTAAACTAACAGCTTCACTGAAGGCAACCTTTATTAAACTAACAGCTTCACTGAAGGCAACCTTTATTAAACTAACAGCATCCATCACCACTGAAGGCAACCTTTTCCAATCACCCGTTCAGCTGAAGATGACTGCTGAAATTTATATTTGTGTTCCCTTGTCTTACCATTCTTCCCATTAAATATTAAAAAACATGATGCATCAATCCTGTCAATTCTTTTCACAATCTTATACAAGATAATAAAAAAAATACTGGTGAGAAATCTTACAATTATTTAATTTGTGGAAAATAACTTTAAGAATCATGTCGTTTACTGTAGGGCAGAAATTCTGGAAGAAATGACAAATTGACAGGAAACCTTACAGCTGACTAGTGTGTAGCAAATATTTGGATTAAATTGGAACCTTAAGAACATGAGAGAGAATACACTGATGAAATCCTGTTTATTTGTACTGTGAATGTTATTGTAAGTTAAAAGTATGTGAGAAGGTACCACCTGGTTTCATATCTAGAATATAGCTCTGGTAAATGGTTGTTAAAGAGTTTTTAGGTAGAATTTGGTATACACTATAAAGTTTAAACCTTGCAATAGTAGAAATGCTGCTTTGAAACAAAATGTTCAAATTTGCTCTAAAAGTAAAACAAAACACAAAAGATAGACACAGAACAAGTTATTGTAAATTCATATCTGCTTAAAATAGAAAGATGATCTAACACTTCTTGGACATTGTAGTCATCCAAGTTTTCAACAGAATCAAAACGATAAATGTAGGGCTTAGCATTTAATATAGCTTTCTTATTCACATCAACAGTAAAAAAATGATATACTTGTCTTTTCATACATGAAATAGAGGATGAAGTAGAAGCTGTTGATAAGAAACATTTTACAGTGTTCTGTCTACCATATTTAGAGTCTTGACTTCAGTTACCGATAAGGGTGTACATGAAGTAAAGAGGAAGGTAGAGTTTATTATTAACCCTACTGCTGGGCTCTGTCTACCTTGATTCAACTGTTGAATGTGGCTACACTGGGCTTACCACTCTACTTTGGTATTGATTCAATTACTAAATGCTGTTACATTGGACTGACTTCCACATGGTATGCTACCTATAGTTTGTTTTCGGTGCTTTTCTGGTCTAGATATAAAGGTTTTTATAAAGTGTGAAATTATGAAAATTAGAACAACTACTTTTGAGAATGAATATTTTTATATTGTTGTTTTTGTCAATCATATAAAACATTAAAATGCATTTTGGGGTTCATCAAATAAAGATATGTTTGATCAAATATTAATTGTGTTTGTGATGTCATAGCCATAAAGACAAGCGTGTACATATGTTGTAGAAGGTAGTTTACAGAAGCCGTAAAATCCTCAAGATGAAACAATATACCTAGTGATGAGATACCTTACAGTTTTCCATTAACTTAAAGTATATAATAGAATGTATACTGGTGAAATACAGTTGTGTAGTTTGTATCAAACAGTTTCAGGGTAATTCTGTAACTTAACAAAATACATTGAACTATACACAATGACAAAACCTTACAGATGAGCAATTGTGGAAGTGGCTGGTGTAAATACTGATTTAAAAAGTGACTTATAAAGTAGAGTGGCTTAAATAAATCTATATAAATGTAATAATACTGTTGTATGTATCTAGAAATATAACACTACTGTGTGTTGTATGTATCTAGAAATATAATACTGTGTGTTGTATGTATCTATAGAAATATAATAGTACTCTCCGTTGTATGTATTTATGTAAATATAATAGTACTGTCATATATATATATAATACTACTGTCTGTTGTATATATCTATACAAATATATAAAGTACTGTCTTTTGTATGAATCTATATTAGTATAATAGTACTGTGTTTTGTATGGATGTATATAAATATAATAGTACTGTTGTAAAATATATATATAATGCTACTGTTTGTTGTATGTTATCTATATATATATATAGTACTGTTTGTTGTATGTTATCTATATAT